CTTAGTGAGGAAGTTAGAACATGATTACATGTTCCATAGAATAATTGAAAGCTAAAGGAAGATGACAATGTAAAAATGGAAAAGATACCTCATTTTGTTGAAAATTGGCACTAAATTGTGTGTAAGTAAGTGTGTGCAAGAGATAAAAACAGATGGAAGGGGGATGGAGACTGTCTTTTATCTAAAAAACATGGTGTCTTGGAGTATAGCTTGATAGACATTAAGAATATTAATTGCAGGGTGCCTGGGTGGCTCAGTCAGTTAAGCATCTGCCTTCCACTAGGGTCATGATCTCAGGAACCTAGGATTGAACCCCATGTGGGGCTCCCTGCTCAGCAGGAAGCCTGCTTCTGTTTCTCTCTCTCCCTTTGCCTCTCCCTGCATGCCGCCCAACCTTGAGCTCTCTCTCAAATAAATAAATAAGATCTTTTAAAAAAAGAATATTAATTGTTGTATCTTGCCATAGTGCTTGAATATTTTTTGAAAAATTTACCTTCCTCATTTATTTACGCTCATATGAATAAATACCAAATTAGCCACACTTTTTCACTTTTCAAAACAGAAGAAAATAAACAGAATGCAACAAAACTGGCTGCTGTTTTATTTATCTTCTCGGAGCCATCCTGATAACTTGAGTGAAACTGGGTGGCCTTATCATTCAACTTTTTGTTCTCTCACATGACACCTGGTCCAGAAGGGAATTTTTCTCTGAGCTCCACTGATTGTGAGCTGTGCCTTCAAGCCTGTGAAGCAATAGTTCTGCACTTTCCACATCCCTTCCTCAAAACGTGTAAACATGGGCAGTTGGAACCTTGTAAACCATCCAGTCTGTAGGAGCTCTTTATTCAGGGTGTGTAAGATATTTCCTTACTACTAACTTTTTATTAAAATTGATTTATTAACCTTCTCATTTTATGGTTTCCCTCCCTGAGCTACAATAAATTAAGGGGTTTTTTTGGTAAATAGCATATATTTACATAAATGTGTCTATATAGAAATAATTTGTGATCTGAAATAATCTGCTTTGATGTTCTTTTCAGATCGTATTTCTTTCATCACTTATTTAATAAATACTTAATGAGGACTCACTTTGAGCTAGGGGATACTATATTCTGTTTGGGGGATTCTATAAAAATCAAACTCTTCCCTTTCCCCAGGGAGCTTACTGAGGAGAGGGGAGAGAACAACAGACACTAATCAGTTAAACTAATGAATTCCTAATTCCAACAATGACCAGCAATTATAAAGGAGAAGTTTAGCTTACTAACATTTTTTTACACTAGATATGATCTGGAAGGCGGGTATGATGGGGGTATCAGCCAGAGAGTCTTCCCTAAGAAATAGTTCCTTAAGAAAAGACACAGTGAAGAGGAAAGATGTGTTCTAGGCAGAGGAAACTGCATGGCGACAAGTTCCCAAGGTGGGAAGACCCTTCCCTCATCATCTCTTATGCTTGGGCAAAGCCTATGTTGTTTCTACTTCAACAGTTGAGATTCTCTCCTAGATAAGATTTGAGTAGAGTCAAGCCATCTCCCCCTGTTGTGCAATTTTTTTTTTCAAGATTTTATTTATTTATTTGACAGAGAGGAAGAGATCAGAAGTAGGCAGGCAGAGAGAGAGGAAGCAGGCTCCCTCCTGAGCAAAGAGCTGGATGCATGGCTCCATCCC